AAAAAAAAAAAAAAAAGCTAAATAAATGGTTTGGAAAAGTTACTCTTGTATAGGAAAAGCCGTTTTAAAACCGCAACATTACCGAGTTAAAAGCCAAATATTTGTTAAGCAGTTGACTGCAGGCTAGCAGCCAGAGAAGACAGCCTGACTAATTAAAAACACTAATAAGCTCGTTATCTTTGTAGAACAGAAAAGGCTATAATTCTGTAGAACAGGCACTTTGCAAACTACTACAACAATTATAGATAAGAGCACAATTATAATATTCTAAATGTATTACTTTAGCAACAGTTGGAATAATTCTGGCTTGTGCATGAAAATAAAAAAATAAAAAATAAAAACTAGATACAACTTTTGTTTTAAAAATTTGTTTCAATACAGTGAACCCATGGTACTTCTAATCAAAGTTATTACATCATGAGAATTTAGTATAAATTAAAGTTTAAATTGAAATGGATTGTTACAGGTACCAACAACTGTTAATTTTGTTTTTCCCCACTGAATAAATGCATTCATTTTAACGGGTACAACTATTGTTACTGTAGTAAATTATAGATTTAAGACTTTAATGCATGTTTGTTGTTCAGAACCAAATGCCTGTTAATGATTTATCATCTTCGTGTCTTTTTATGCTTCAAACTAAGTACCGTTGCTTTTCTTTTCTTTTTAAATCTAATCTCGGCCCTCTACAAGAAGCTAAAAAAAAAAAAAAAAAAAACGGTTCAAGCTGTGCGAGTGCAGCGATTAAGCTCGAGGGTGGATTTGAACTTGGGTACCAAAGGTTAAGATTGCTCCACATTGAGCGAGAGTCCCCACAAAGACGGGAATGTGCGTTTGAACAGATTCGCAGACAGAAATCTATAACAAGCTTAAGCTCTTTAAATCAATACCATAAACAGTAAGAAATCCATGTAGTGACATTCACAGAATGAATAAACTGCAGCTGCTTTGCCGTATTAATTGGCCTCTCATTTCTGTTAAACCAGCAGATGCAACTATTTATCTAATTTAAGGCAATTCTGATGGTGTACTTTGGCTAGCCACGAACAAATTAACAGATTTACTGGTTTCCTTTTGCCTATAAAACCCCCATTTTATGATTCAAAATATAACTCCAGGTTTATTTTAACAAGCTGGAAATATTATTATTATTAACTTTTACAATGAGATGTTTTGAGGATTAGCACATTGCTTTCGGTGCCAGCTAGTACTCCTCCTGCTGTTCGCACAAGTTTTTTTTTTTTTTTTTAGTTAAAATCTAACCTTTTACACTGGCCAGAGCCAGAACGGGATTTTATCTTTTAAGCAGCTGACCCAGCCTAAGTTTTTCTTTTTTTGTTTTACAATCTTTGAACACTGCTTAAATTGACCTGATGGATATGAATGTTTTGTCATGATCAGTCAGCCTCGACTGCCCAGCACTCCCACTTTAAATTCTTATCCAGAGATTAAATTACAAAGTCTCGCAGACACACCTCACGCTTCCTCTACCGTCTTGGCTCTGGTCCATCTCTGCCTCCAGCATGATTCAGGCCTCTCTGTATCCCGAAACTCCCCCAGATCATCCATGTTGCTCTTTTTCATGCTGCAGATATTTTAGCTGCCCCGGCAATCCTGTCAATCTTCAAAACAAAACATACTTAGCTAATCGTTTTTTTGTTTTTTTACAGTGCCTTGCAAAAGCATTCATATGTTATTAAATGCTTGGCCTGTTAACCCATTACGACCAGTAATTTTAATGTATTTTATTTGCTCCACTTAGCTTTTTATTACTCCACTGCAAAATGGAGTAAATATGGGACATGGCTTTATAATTGTTTTTAATACTAAAAGTCTGAAGTATGTTATTCATTCAAAGTTGGACACCTTTATTCTTGTACTCCTTAATAAAATCCAGTGCAACCAATTGTCCGAGTGGCGAGGAGAAAGCCGCTATTGAAAGACGGCCATTAAAAGTTTGATTTGCGGTTTTCACAGCAAACATGTGGAACAGACACTTTGGTCAGATGAGACACCAAATGCACTTTTTGAAATGAGTGTGGAAAGGCATGAGAGTCAACAAATACCCTATGTAATAATAATCAAAATAACTGAATCAGATTGGATATTTTCCATCCAATTTCATTAAATTTAAGCTAATTTGAAAAGAAGGCTCGACAAAAAGTTTAGCCTCTAAATGGGAAAAGAAAAAACAATCTGCACCATCTTGCATTGATCAGTCACATAAAATCAAATAAAATGCATTAAGGTTCGGGGTCACGTAAGAACTTGTGAAAAGGCTCACATGATACAACTAGTTTTGCAACTTTAAATGATAACCTGGAGTGTCTTCACTGAAATACAAGACTAAGAGAAAGGAAGAGACAGGAACAGGAGACCCCTCACTCTCTTCTATCAGTCTCCGCGACCCACTCATGTAGCCTTGCTCCTTCCTCTCAAATGACACTCTAATGGTTTAAATGGTACATTCCCCTTGAGATCTAGGGTGGACTGGGGCCAAGGTGAAGGGGCCAGCTGACAATTTATGAGTCAACTAAAGGTCACTGGTAAGCCTTGCTCTGCAATTAGGAAGCTTCTCTGAGCCGCAGTAAACAAAAATGCACTCACAGATACATAATTGTGCAGCATTTTTTCAAATGAATTCGTATGTCACACATGAAGTTTTTTTTTTTCTTTATTTATTTTTTTTTTTTCCAAAGGAGCACAAATCAGAAAGAAGAAAAAATATTCATCACTGCAATCTGCAGACTCCAGACAGGACTAGATAAAATGGTATCTCCTATGACAAGCTGTACTCCCACTGATTCTGTCACTGTTGTGCAGAGAGAGGAAAAAATGAAGCAGTGAATGTGTAGGAACCTTTTCTTTTAACTGTGCTGTGGAAAAACGTTCTCTCTCTGTGTGTGAAATTAAAAAGAGCCCAAGTGTACCTTCTCTATCTGCTACACGGAAAATTTGTAATTTGAGCGAGCAAATATTATTTCTCTGTGTCAGAGCTAATGTGTTACAGTTTGTTCAGAAGCTGTCTGTTCTCCTGCCTTGGAGCAGGGTTCATACTTCTGCACCTTGTACTGACGGCAGTAAGGCCCTGTTCATGCTGCTCCTAAAAGCACAAGAGGAGTTTTGATACTTTGGTATATTTCACACTAATTTTACCGTTTCATTGAAAAGAATACTACAAGTCAGACATGCGAGTACAAGACATGTGCCGATGTGGATTTGTCAGTAGGAGATGCATGGAGAGTCTCAGTCCAGAACTGTAGCAAAACCATTGTATGCATGAAACGGGTGTTTCATCCCAACCAACGTTGCAGCGACCTGTTGGTGTTATGAAGAACGCTACAGTGCATTGAAAAAAGAACTTATTCACATTTTGCAACATTACAACAGATTTCATTGTGAGCTGGAAGAAAACTTGGAAAACAATTTTTTTAAAAAAAAAAAAAAAAAAAAAAATCAATTTGAAAAGTGCAGCAAGCATTTGTATTCAACTCCCTTGGGTGTGATGCCCCAAAATAAAATCAGATTTTGGTTGGTACTTCTATTCCCAGTAAAATACTTTGTAGAATGAAGTTTGTTGTTCTAGCACTGAAAAAATGTTAAGGGATGTAACAAAAGGGTTGTAAATAAGATACACTTAAATTTCATGACATTGCGTCATTTGAATCATTTTTATATAAAGATGGCCTCTGCCTGGTACATATTGCTACTGTTTTTAACTCACCAAGCAGTTAACTCTGTATAAATAACATGCTAGTGCTAGCTGGGCAACCATGTTCATCATCTATTTTGATAGGACTCATTAATTTGTCTTGTTGTACATTTCAGTGCAGTTCCAGTTAATTGTTTGGACCTTGAAGAAACATTTTGGTTTGCTACAAATGCCATAAAGATAAAGGCTGTCAGGCAGCTTTGGTTGGATTTTGTCACAGTTAAATGTTTCAGATCATCGAACCAATTTAATACCAGACAAAGACAAGTGACAAAAGTTTCCATATACACAGGTTCTGCATTGTAAAGTTAAAGCAATGTCGTTTTTATGTGATTTTATACGGTGACGCAGCATTTCTGCTCCACATAACAGCCCAAGGTTGAGCTGTCCTAAAGCTGGCTCCTGTTTGTCAGTCTCTCTCCCTCAGGGCACTGGGTCTTCCCACACAGACAGCCAGCAGATACAGATGGACTCCACTTGATACATGGCAGCAAATATTTGCTTTTGCTATGAGAGACAAGCTCTGTGAGTCAGAAAATAGAGAACGACAGGAGAAAAATACACACACAAAGTTCCTTTGCGTCCCCTGTCTCTTGCTGACAGCTTCAGTGTCTGATTGTTTTATTTGCCACGCCAAAATGAAAAATGTCTGCTCAGTTGTTTCTGCAACAGCCAGATTCTCTTTGAACGTGTGCAGATCACACTTTGAACACATTAGCAGACGACACGCAGACGTGGCAATCTGCAAGGTTGCCTTGTGTTTAAGAAACACCAAAACACGCCGCCCTGAAAGGTTGGAAACACAACTGTCTGCATCGCCAAAAGCAAACATTGCTCGCGCATTATGTTGTGTTCGTACAGATGACGGTCTCTGTACAGACGCCCCGACGTTTTTCTGACCGAGAGACATTTGCTCACTCATACAAAGACACGCACAGCTCTGAGTTCCAAGCACTGGTCTCAAATCGAGACTAAATATAGGCGGTGAGGTAGGACCGTCGGTAGTTGTCAGATGAGGTCCCATTATGAGCCTCGGTCTGTGGGGCTCTTGTGTTCTTCCATAATGACCAGCCGCTGCACCTGTCTTTCTGCACATGAGTACTCAGGTCAGACTAAATATAGGAGTGCTCCCCCTCTTTGCCTCTCTTCTCTGTTGCCCCAAAGCTGCACCACTCTGCACAGCAGCTCCCGTTCCTCCCTCCCCCACCCCACCCTTCAGCTCCTTTCTGCTAAAGCTCCCGGTTGGAGCAAAGTAGGTGCAGGAGGTACCGCTGCCAACAGAGTCGCATCGGCTCTCATCTCGTCCCCTTTTATAGAAACATGATGACATTACAGTCGGGCAGGAATGACAAACGGGGACCAATTGGCATCAGGGAGGTGGCCATCAGACATTACCCAATTTGATTTTAGGACTGAAGTCTGTCTCTCATAAAACTATATTTAGAGCACAAAGTAAGGCTCGGTTAGTATCCAAGCAAAACAAAATATCATGAAGTATTTAAACTCTTTACTTTATAATCATTTAAAATGTTGGTTGTGTTCAATCTGTTCTGATGAAATTTGCATCACCCCATTAGACATGGCAACATTTGCTTTTCAAATTTTGCCATTTGAAGCCAAACAAATTGATATAAAAATGTTTTTAAGACACTTTCTGTCTTGTCGGCTTTTGGAGAAATTCTCGGATTGTTTTAGTAAATGATCTCGTCTTTACAAAACTTTATGAACTGGTTCTTCAAATCATAGTGACTGAAGGAAATCAATTATGAAAACAAGCAACAAAACAGATAAATACGAAATAATTTGATGTTTCACTCATGGCCATTTCTTCTTCCTTTGAGCAGAACTTTATGAGAACAGTTCGTTCACTAAAAACAAAATGTTTTTTTTTTTTCAAGGTACAAAAAAACCTTGATAACTTATTTTTTGTATAGATTCATGAAAAGCGGCCAAATAGCCAATTTCATAAATGGCTCAATTATTTGTTATCCTGTTGCGACTACAATCTTCAAGATGTCTGCAACAGATATCCAAACTAATGCAAAACATTTCCCTGCCAAGAACAGACAATGCACTTTGGTGGGACATGCAAGGGTATTTGTCCATCTTTACAAGCATTTAGCAAACACAAACACACTTGCGTAGTCCTCCACAAGATGACAGGAAATGCTGACTGGCCAGGTCTCGCAGCCTAATAAAACCCGTTTGCTCCACTTGGTATTAACAAAAATCTCAGTTTAGTTCAATACATTTCAGATACACATTGCCAAAGCTCATATTGTTTGTGTTTATGCAACTACTCTCTTACATCAGCACTGCATTTATTTCAGCTGCTTGTCTATCTCTAGGACATGATTTACTGCAATATAAAGTGCATCCTTCTGCCATAAACCGTCAGCACCTAAATCGCCTTAACGTAACCAGAACTGGTGCTTCAATTACAAAATCCTCATTCAGATGGAAACAAATAGCTTTTGGCTTTCTCTAATGGGCACTTTGATTACCTTTATGCTTGTAGCGATGAGCCATTAACTAAATACAGTTGATTAAGTGTGCATATACCACATGCTACTACCCAAATAGTTACTGCTGCAGTCCGACGTGTGTAAATGGCTTCACACTGCAGGCCAGCTTTTGATTAATACGTCGGGGCCAAACGGTCCAATAAATGCATGCAACACTGACCTTAAGGTGTTGCTGGCAGAACAAAGAATCGCTTTTATTGTTCCAACACTACCCAGAGAGGAAGACGTGTGCAAGCGCCAAGCTTCCAGCTACTTTACAGTCACCTGATTGACCCAAACGTGATGCATTAAGCGGCGAAAAGGTGTCGAAAACAAATGTACGCATGCCAAATAAACCACATACCAGACTGAGCGACAGCTTTATATCTGGAACCGTTTTACAATGAAGCACGAGTGTTGATCCCTGCAGCGCAAAGACACTCGAAAACAGATCCACGTAGATTGCCTCATTAGTATATTTATACTCTTTAAACATTTTTTATATATATATTTAGCAATATTATATTAATGTTGATGCATTTCATTGTAACTTAATGTGACAGACCAACACAAGGTGAAAGGAAGATAGCATGTTTGTTATTTTTCTTTTCTACAAATGCGTCATGCATTTGAATTTAGTCCTCATGCTACAAAACTTTGTATAACAAAGGAGAAACGAAACACGTTGACCTGATGAAAATCCTCTCCTGTCAACTGCAGGATGTTTTCCTTCTTCCATACATCATCTTGTCAACTCTGACCAGCTTCCTTATCCCTGCTGAAGAACATCCCCACAGCATTATACTGCCATGACTATGTTTCGCTATTGCAAAGTGTGTTTATGAAAATGCAGTTAGTTTTCTGCCACACACAGAGCAAATCTGTAGTTTGACCATCAAATAAAAACCATAGGCGTCAACGACGCAAGATAATTACGGGTGGATGGCATACCGCTTGAAACATTTAGAGAAACTCAGTCTAGCTTTCATTGTGCTGCATCCCCTAAATGCTTTTATTAGCTCCCTATGAGTTTGTGATAAGCAATCAATCTCCCAGTTTCATGCCATGTCTGGTGTTTGCACTCCTTCTGAAAGTCTAATAAAGGCTCAAGGTGATGATTTCCATTTTGGCCAACAGGAAAACAGCTCATCTGCTCCATGGGAATCTGTCCACAGCACCAGCAGCTGCATAAAGATTCAACAAGAGAAATTTTTCTGAATGTATCTTCCCTGCCCCCTCCAAATCTCAGAGTTTGTTTCAACTCTATTAAAGAAGGAACTTATCCTTTAAAGAATATTAATTCCCTGGAGCAAAGTGGGAATATTACTGTCAGTCATATTATGTTTTCCTTTTCCTTTCCATTCTGCGGCTGACAAAATGCCCAATACTGCAGGCAGTAAAAACATCTGCAGTGCCTGCACCCTGGAGGAGAACGACTTTCTGTGGTAATAAAAGATGAGATGGAGTGATTAGAGAAATGCCAGCGAGTTGCTGTGAGGGATTTTGGTTCACTCCTTTTCCTTACAAATGCCATTCATAGTAACTTTTGACTGTAGTGAATGCGTCCACTAGCCGAATCTTGGCAGAAACACTTATCTCCTTCTATTGAAAAAAAATGAAAAAAAAAAAAAAACTAAATGAAAAACTCCAATAATGTTTTTGTCAGATAGAAACATTACTGTCCTACATCTTCATTTCCAATTCTCAGGTTACCAGTGATGCAGGCAGCGTGTAATCAGAAATGGGCCAAAACATTCTGCTGATAAAATTGACTACACCACAGCGCACTCTGTGGCCTCCTCTCCCCCGTCTCTGTTACCCTGGAAACTGTTGTCCATGTAGGAAGGAGCAATTCTATTACAGCGACGATACGACCAGCCAGCAGATAGAACCATAAAACGTGACTTAGCGGTTAAGAAAGAACGAGGGGAAGCAAAGATGAAAACCGCAAGGGAAAGGAGCAAAAAAACAAAAAAACAAACAAGAGCAAGAGTTGAACAAAGATTAAAAGAAGAAAGGGCATTAGAGGTGGTGAGAGTGATCAAAAGAGGTGTGAGGAAACATAAAGACAACGTGCTGGAGATGGCGTCCAATCCTCTGATGTCCCCCAAGTCTCACAGAAATGTAAGGAAGTTTCAACATTTACTTAAGAACAAAACAGGGGAGAATCCTAATGTACACTTGGCACAGTTCGCAATAATAACCGCTATCAGAGCACGTCTGATTACAAATGGAAAGTGTGAGGAGACGGAGAATACGGAACGGGGCCAGAGGCAATAAGCTAGTTAAGCAAACTGCGTGATCTGGCCGCATCTTTCACGCATCTATTCACATCCCGTCAAAAGCCCCGTCTGTCTCTCAACCACCACAGTTACCCTCGACTCATAATGGATCTATTGAGTCACTCCATTTGTCTTCTACCACATGCCCAAAGCCAAATCCACTCTTTTTTTCTTTTCTTTTTTTTTTTTACACCCCCACACTGTCTCACACTATCTCCATCAAGGATAAATTACCACGCTCGTGGCGAGAGGCGGAGCCCAGTTGCTGCGTTGGTGGGTGTGTGGGGGTGTGTGCAGACGAGCCAGGGAAGGTCAGAGTGGACGGGGCCGGTAGGGAGACACAAGAGACGAACGAATGGTAGGGATCATATACTAATCAATGCTGAGCACACGACCTCTTTTAGTGGCCTTACACTTAACCAAGTCTTGTCCCTTTCACACTCCTGCTCTATGTGGAAGTGGTATCAGCTTTCGCTTCTTTAGCCAACGGTGAGGGAAAGGTCCCTCTCTGATGTGACATGGGACCAGAGAAACTTGTTGGTGTGTGTGACCCCGTCCAAGCCTGGGAATCATTGCGTAGGAATATCACATTACGGGCTGGCTTAGGCCCGGCTTACTTTGTTCTGGGGTAAACTACCCTAGCCCATAAAGAAGCCGCAGCCTATGGCTGTAATGCCCGACACGGGTCACATTACGCTGCCTAAATCCATTTCAGTGCTTTTTGTGTAATCAACTCCAAGTTGAACAATGGAAATACCAGCGGGTCAGTCCTAAGGCTTTAAAGTGTCTGGCCCTTAAAACTTGTTAGCGAATCTGGCCGTTAAAGACATTGTTTTTCTTGGGGGAATGTGATTCCAACGTGTCTTTTAAGAGTCGGGTCATAAACAGGGCTGAAAGAAAGACGGCTTTGAAATTACATCAAAGCTGGGCTCAGAAAACTGACAGCTACTATGTGTAAAAACTCAAACAACGTCTCGTCACATTATGTAGCGCTGATGTACGGTCCTTCTGTAAGTGTGTCACTTTGTTTTCCTGTTTACATGACATTCATTGTAAACTCTTTTTTTTTCTCCCTATTAAGAGTTTCTTTAGTAAAAAATAATCTGTGCGACATGAAAGCTGCTGATTTTGTGATATAAACCATTGCACTTCACTCTGCAGTAGATGAGTTTGTGTTTCACAGGTTCAAGGAGATTCAGATCAACACCAGCATATCGTAATGGATCTTCCTTCTCACCTGCCGCAATTTCCCACCAAGGTTAATGTAATTCAGCTGCAAAAAAACAAAAAAAAAACACCCTACAATAAAGCTTACAGAGAAACTTCCAGTAAAATGTGTATCTACATAAATATCTAAATAATTTGACGGTTTTCATCATTTCTTTATAGCTGTTTTTTTGTTTTTGTTTTTTTTTAAGTAGAATAAGCCAAAAGCAAATTTCAATGCAGCTTAAAAACAGGAATTGAATGCACTGGTTATTCATGCAATGTCAGGATTGTACATTCAAATATGCTTACTGATATTTAATTAATTTTCCTTAGCAAGATAAACCTTAATCCCACATTTTTTTAACGATGGTGACGAGATAAACTCGATCCATTGCATTGAAGTATAATTATTAACTGCCTGTAAAGGTGGGTAGATTTTATATGACTACTGTTTATCTTCACATAAACCAATTTGTTTCCTAATATTTCATAACACCATTGTCATGTTTGTCGTTTAAGATTGTTATTTATGTGCTTAACAGAAAGTATCCCTCTCGGACATCCAATTGCAAAGCGGAAAGAATTTTATTCCTGCAGAAGCTGCATTTCTGCCTTCAAGACCAAGAAGCTGTGAAGCAAAGGAAAACAACAGAGGACTGATGCTGCTGGATGTAAGCAGAGCACTGCATCAAACAACTGAAGTTTAATGTTTGTAATTTCCAAGGTGCAGCTATGAGAGGAGAGAGGGACACGTGGGAAAACAGGACAGATTTATTGCATACCGCATTCGTTTCCCACCTGGGAAGGTTCACCCTTTTTACAGAATTAAAGGAATTAATTTATTGTACAATCACTGCTGGAAAGACGCTAATATCTGCATGTCCCCTTTTCAACAACAACCCATTCATGGAGACGGATCACCGTGGATTTAGGAGCCTCTGTGGATAATCTCCCAGTTTAAGAAATGCATAAATTGCGATTGCTTTGAAAATGATTCAAAAGCAGAGCAACACACTTCTGTCTTAGTTTTAACTTTTTTGCTTGGTGGTAATTTAAGACAGCTGCAAGGCAGTTTGAAGTCGCAATGCTTTTTGTTCATTTCCTCATCTCATCCACACTCGGTGATGAATCCTGGTTTTCTCTTGTAGTAAAATGGAAAAGATTCAATTAAAGTTGAATGAGATCAAAAATTCCCCAAGAACCTCCCCACTACCCACACAAAACAATGCAAACTAGATGACAGAGAAAAGCATAGAAAGGAAAAGGCAACATTTAGAACGAGCCGTTCAAGCAAAAGGACACGGGGAGGGAAAATAAAGTATAATCTGCCTGGAAGTGAATCCAGACTTTTTACCTCTTGGTTTTTCCATCGCTCCTCGTTACTGAAAGTGCGAGCTGTGACTAAAAGGTGGAGAAAGTTTGAGGAGACAATTTTACTGCTGCACTCTTAATAATGGATACCTGCTTCTTCGCTCTCTCGCTGTCAGTTTGTATGATATATATTTTTTTCACAACTCTATCATAGTTGGTCTAACCTGAAAATAACTTCACTTCTGACTAGCAGCTCGTCCCACCTCAACTCGAGCAAAACTTCGCCGCTGGTTTCCCATATTAAATATCCAACCCGTCGCCTCACCTGTTGCTGCCCGTCTTCTACCCCCAAACCAGGTCATCTGTTCTAGCTGCTGCTTTCAGACCTCTTGGTGTTGCCACTGGGGCCACTGGGGAAAGTATTCATCTTGTGAAAATTGTGGGGTACAATTCCAGTTTCCTGCTGTCGTATTTCAATGTACCCCTGGGAAAAAAAAAAAAAAAATGCACCTAACCACAGGTTGCCTACCAATCTGCATATTGATGTACGATGCGTGCATGCCTGAGTGCATTAGAGACTCAGTCTATTTTACCACCTCATTTTCTACCATCTGCATCTCCATCAGACCAATGTTGTATTAATCTGACTCTTATGCAGATACTTCAAATCACTAAAGGCTGATCAAGAAAAGAATGTTGAATATTTTCAGATATTACGCTCACTGGCCGCGGTGCCCTCACTGCCGACTGTGAAATGGTGGCATCTCTTCACATCAGTGTTGTGTGTTAAGAAAGTTGCAGTTTAAAAGAGCTTCACCTCAAGGTTCCTTCTTTAAACAGACAATGAAAAATGTAAGCGATAATAGACTTTTTAAGCTGGCTCTGAAACATCCCTCCATTTGCTGGAAGCCATTAGTAAAACATAAAAGACATTAGAAGCATTTGTGTCACACACTCGCCTTATTGAGAAATAACCTTGGAGGTCTACCTAATGTCATATTACTAATACACGTTTGTTGGCTTTATTTTATGTAGGCTAAAATACATTTGGCAGCAAGATTTACTTTTGTAAAGGTTTTAAACTAATGTGCACAGTGAACCGGAGAAAACATTTCATTTCTTCTCCACTGGTAGCGAAGGCCGATGTAACGGTGTAAGTGCAAAAGGCAGGAAAACGAGCTGAAGTCGATCTGCATTCACGCCGTCACTTCACGCAAAACCAAAAGGATTGATGAAAAGTGAAAACTGTGTCATTTGTGGACAATACAAGTTTTCCAATTCATCCAACTTAATACGACTAAAAGCAGAAGGCACTGCACATTCAAGCATTGACTAAACATGGCCTTCAAAGGCTTTGCAATAATAAGTTCAGTGTTTTACATTGGGATTTTTGTGATGGACCCACACAAACTTGCCTGAAATTGCAAAGCGGAATGAATGTTACATGCCTTTCAAATGTTAAGATGGATCAGATCCTAACACCAGAGAATGCAACCAGTTGCCTTCAGAAGGCACCAAATTAGTTACTAATTTCTCTCTCTGCCAAATTCAAAATAAAGGCAGTTCTTCTCAGAAGCCCTCAGTGGTTGCAAAATATCCCTAGAGAGCAAACTGTATCCTGTTGTTTAAGGAACATACTAGACAGACAGAGGAGACATTTGAGGTTAAAAAACACTATCCAACAATCTAGCATTGATCAAAGAATCAGTCAAAAAGTCTCTGGTGACCCCGGAGGAGCTGCAGAAATTTATAGCTAAGGTGAGAAAATCTGTAGACGGGAAAACTATTGGATGCTTTTCCTCAGACATGTCAGGAAAAAACTGGTCAGAGTTGAAAGCAGAATGTCTTGTTATGCGTCTCGACAATAAATAATATGTTTGCAGAATTCCATACCATCAAATAATCTGTTAAAAACACAAGATGGTGTTTTATGTCAACAGAAGTGTGAGCTCAAACGTGGTATAAAGTGAATAACTTGTTTCAAATCATTCCTGCTGCCATCGGAAGGTGTTCACTTCTCCGTCTAAGCTGCCCCAGTCATCTCAAACAAGCCATTTTATCTTCACTTCAGTGTTTTCTCTGAACGTCCATCTCCAACCAGGAAAAAAAAAAAAAAAACGGAAGACATGTCAGCTGTTTTATGGTGCAATCATGTCTTTGTCATGTCTAAAACAAACAAATGGGCTAGGCAGAGGTAGAAAAAAAAAGAAAAACTAGAGCAAAATGTGAGAAAGAAAGGAAGACCTAAGGGTAAAGGACACCATCTCCTATATCCCACTTCAGTCCTGACAGCAGTAACGTGTTTTATGGCTGTGAATGAAAGCAATACGAGTAGAACTGTACCTACGCATGTTAGAGCACTTAACAGCGCCGCTGCTGCCACTTTCCCCCTGAGTGACTGTTCTCAGTCCTCTTTCACTAATGTTTCTAAATGGTCCTGCCTGGTAATCAGTGTAAGAATCAATAATTAATTTTAAAGTCAGGATTAAGTGCTTTGTTACTGCAACTTTGGATAAAACGCAAGGACCCGATCACAACGTCTGGAAGGATAAAAGCTGCACTGAAAAAAGGCCAAAATGTTTGTTGTTCTTATATGAAAGCCGCTCCGTTGGCTAGGAGACGGGGAATATTTGAATGACTCCTAAAAAAATGTTAAATGCGCTACCTGCTACTGTTCTGAACTTATTTCTGTAATGGCCTAGGGCTCTGCTTTTTAGAAAACGGACAAGTTTCTTTCCAGTTGTTCGGTGCTTCTTACCGACACATGCACAAATGCAAAAATTGAGCTCATTATGAGTCGAGCCCTCCGAAAAGGCTGCTTACTTACAGCTGGTTGCACCAGCAAATGTAATAATTGGGCTCCAACAACCGGCCAGGAAAAAGGGATGAATTAGACATGAATCAATAGTTAAAACGGAGGTTAACAAGCAGCTGTGTACTGCAACTACTCAGGTCAAAGGCTAGAGCTGCTGCACAAAGGTACATTTAGAAATTAATCCAACACGTGATTTTTAAATTAGAGGGAAAAACAATGAGTGACTTTTAAGAACAATTGTTTTAATATACTATAAAAAGTTGCATTGTGCAGCAGTTTGCATGCACCTTTATTTTTATTTTATTATTATTTTTTTTTAATAAAGTAAATTATTTGGGATTGCAACCAGAGATTGAGTAATCAATTCACCAGAGATTGGAAGCAAACATTTTTCCATAGAGTAGCTTTAACCGAGACAGGTTCTGGTTCTGCCGGAGATTTCTTCCTGTCATAGGGAAGTTTTTCTTCTCCACCGTCGCTCCGTGCATGAGGAATTGGTGTAAAATCAACACAACACAAGCGATTTTCTGCCGTTACCATGTTCTCGTAGAGGAGGAGCGAATGCTGCAAGTCAATGACTCGATGCAATCTGCTGGGTTTAGAAACTTTCTAAACCAATTTGAGTAATTAACTGAGCTTAATGTACCGTTTGATAACCAGGATCAACTGGAATGCATGTGTGATTGAACTGAAAAGTCTTCTTTTTTGTAAAAGTGCCTTTAAACATTTGCTGTGAAATGACACTATAAAAATAATCTGAATCAAATTGGCTTTGATAATTGATTAAAAAAAAAAAACCAGAATGTTTTTCCCAATTTATTAAATGTATCAAAACTAAGAAGTCCCACCATCACCCCCCACCTCAAGAAACATATCAGCCACCAGAACTGACTTTAATATACACTGCTCAAAAAAATAAAGGGAACACTCAAATAACACATCCTAGATCTGAATGAATGAAATATTCTCATTGAATACTTTGTTCTGTACAAAGTTGAATGTGCTGACAACAAAATCACACAAAAATCATCAATGGAAATCAAATTTATTAACCAATGGAGGCCTGGATTTGGAGCCACACACAAAATTAAAGTGAAATGTTCCCTTTATTTTTTTTGAGCAGTATATTAAAATGAGCATTGTGTTAATTCTTTCCTCTTATGTTGGACTCAAATCCACATGCCTGCAAGCAAGCAAGCATTTACAGTCAAATTCTGCTTTAAAGCAAGCAGAGTGGTTGCATCATCCTTTCCACTGAATTTCTACCAGCAGCCAATACATTGCGTCAAAACTTTTACTATTTAATCCCGTGCATCCATACGCAACTGATGAAAAATTAAAAGATGTAGGGTACATTACTGCTTGGCTCGGTTATGCAAAACCGTGGAAGACTTTGTTCCAGTATGGAAAAGAAGAAAAACATGAGGGCAGAGAGGGATTGGCAGCCATCACTTTGGAGATCAAAGCCCTGTCTGCTTGTTCTGCCTGCAGCACTCCTCTTCTTTTCGTTTGGGAAAGAGGGAACAGGACCGAGGGGGGGATGCTGGGGAAGGTCTACATGGAGGAGCTGACATGGAAAAAAAAGAAATGTTTAAAAAAAAGGCTTATTTTCCTTGCTCACTTTGCTCTTCTTACATCCACCCCGATGCCGTCTCGCTCATTAAAAACAACCTCCCATCACACCCCTCTCGACATGCAAGCAAACAAAGCACGAATTTGCCACACATTCACGCAGGGCAGGGGCGCTCCAAGCAAATCATGGAGTTAATGAAGCAAAGGTCACTCTTAGCCCAGCAACCCAGGGGAAGTCCGTAATGTGACCTTGATCTGTGCAACTCTTTCACTTTCTTCGCTTTATTCTCTCCTGCTCGCGCACACAAACCCACACTCAGATAAAGCTCTTCCCCTTCTTAACCTGAAAGAGGGATTAAACAGCGAAGGGGGAAAAAAAAAAACATAGATATGCTGCATAATCTTTAGTGCTGAGCTCAGCTGACTGCAGCAGGTTCTTTGCTGAAAGTTTATCTTAAAAAAAAAAGTTTATCCACCAAAGTTAACTCTTTTTAAACCAGGTGGTGAGCATCTGCCTACAAGACTCTGTAAGAGCCAAGAAGTCAATGTCTGCTTCTGAAGAACAAGCACTAAAAACATGGGAGGATTGATTAGAGAAGCAACCAAGAGCTGTTTCTCTGGAGGAGCTGTAGAGATCCAAAGTCGTAAACTCCACAAGTCTGGCCTGTAGGGAAGTGAGGCGTGAAGGAAACCTTTGTTGAAAGAAAGGCATAGCAAACGTGCCTTAGGGCCTGACTATGTTTAAGCTATAGTGCAAAGATGAATAGGCAAAGAAATAATGTAGATATACAAAGTAGGTGGAAACAAATCCCAAAAGAATTTTACATGTAATTGAAGTGGAAGATGGGACTAAAAGTATTCACTCATGTGGGTGGAATACTTTTTGGGTCTGGCAAATCTCAGTAAAATACACTGAGCCCAAAAAGTATGATTTTCTTTTTTTCTTTTTTTTTTTAACAAAGCACTCTAGCTGTGTTGTATCTGGAAGTTTCTGACACATTAAGAGCTCAACTTTATGAGACCTCAGTGAGATCCAGACACAAACGCAGAGGATTAAGAGCTGGCGAGAGGCCTCACTGACAAGCTTCTGAAATAA